GAAGAAGGAACCCTTTTCGTCGGGGAGGGGCTCGGTGTTCCTTGATTGTTTCACAGTTTGCCGCAGGTTCTGCCTCTGCTCGGGGGCCACGTGCGAACCCTACCCCTGCCCCCCACGACTTCTGAGGGGGAGGGTGGGGCCCACTTCGCTCGGGAGAGCTCGCGAGCGAGGTGAACCCCACCCTCCCCCTCAGAAATCGTGGGGGGTAGGGGTGGGGTTCGCATGTGGCCCCCTATCTAGTGCTTCTGGCCCTCCTGACTCAGGTCCTCCCCCAAAGGGTTCGGGGTACTTCTATTGCTCCTCGCGGGGCATCGGCCACGCGCAGAGGGGGGCAGGGGCAGGCGGGAGAAGGCCTCTCAGAAGCGCCCCTGGCAGCTCGCTTCTGAGAAGCCTCGCCGCCGACGGAGCAGCACAACGGAGGTGTGGACTTCCGTGGCGCCCAGGCTTTCCAGCCTGGAACATATCCCTATCCCTACGCTGGGCACCTCCGCATCACGATGCCAATCTTAGGGACTCCCTTCTGTTTCGAGGGCGACTCCCTGAGATTGTCATCTCATTTTGGCGTGTCAATCTTGGGGATAGGGATACGTTCGAGGCTGGTAATTCCACAGGACCGTTTTGCCCCTCGGGCTGTTCTCTTTACGGTCCTGGGGCCCGGCGAAGGCCCCCGGAGGCCGACAGTAATGAAAACCGTCCGCCGTGATGATCTCGTAACGGCAAGCGCTCTAGCTGCTGGGTCCCAAACGCGGGTTCTCGGCGGCCGCTCGGGGCGATCGCGGCACCTTCGGAACGCTCTCGGCGAGGCGCAGCGGATAGACGACATCTCGAGGCTCGAGCACTTGGAAGATGAGCATGAGGAGGAGGAGGAGGAGGAGGAGGAGGAGGAGGAGGAGGAGGAGGGAGGAGGAGGAGGGGGGAGGGGAGGGAGGGAGGAGGAGGACGCTCTCACACAGGCCGCTCCTCGCCGCGCCGGGCGGCGGGCCCCCCGGGCCCCGCCCGGGCTCCCGGCCGCGCCGCGGCGCCCGCGGCGCCGCGGCGGCCGGGCGCCGCCGGGGCGCCGCCTCGCCGCAGGGGCGCCCGGCGCCGCGGCGAGGCCGGCGGCCGCCCGGCGCGGGGAGACGCCCAGTGCGCGAGCTGCCCTGCGGTCGGGCACGCCCCTCCCTCCCTCCTGGCTTCTTCCCTCCCTCCCTCCCTCCTCCTGCCTCCTCCTGCCTCCTCCTCCTCCCTCCCTCCCTCCCTCCCTCCCTCCCTCCCCCTCCTCCCTCCCTCCTCCCTCCTCCCTCCTCCTCGTCCTCCTTCCTCCTCCTCCTCCTCCCTCCTCCTCCTCCTCCTCTCCTCCTCCTCCTCCTCCTCCTCCTCCTCCTCCTCATCATCATCATCATCATCCTCATCCTCCTCTTCCTCTTCCTCTTCCTCCTCCTCATCATGCTCATCTTCCAAGTGCTCGAGCCTCGAGATGTCGTCTATCCGCTGCGCCTCGCCGAGAGCGTTCCGAAGGTGCCGCGATCGCCCCGAGCGGCCGCCGAGAACCCGCGTTTGGGACCCAGCAGCTAGAGCGCTTGCCGTTACGAGATCATCACGGCGGACGGTTTTCATTACTGTCGGCCTCCGGGGGCCTTCGCCGGGCCCCAGGACCGTAAAGAGAACAGCCCGAGGGGCAAAACGGTCCTGTGGAATTACCAGCCTCGAACGTATCCCTATCCCCAAGATTGACACGCCAAAATGAGATGACAATCTCAGGGAGTCGCCCTCGAAACAGAAGGGAGTCCCTAAGATTGGCATCGTGATGCGGAGGTGCCCAGCGTAGGGATAGGGATATGTTCCAGGCTGGTAGTGGAACATATCCCTATCCCTAATCGGCGGAACAAGTCGAAGGCGACGTCGGAGGTCTGAGGCCTCACGAGGGCGAGGGGGCTTCCCACCAGGCAGGGGGGCTTCTCGGAGGCCCTCCCTGGCTTCCAGGGGGCCCTCCTGCAGAGGCCTCGCGGCCCTTCCGAAAAGGCCTGCGTCGTGCACGGGCCTCGCATTTGGTTGTGGGCAGCTCCCCCCCATGCAGAATTCGGGTGGACCCACAAGGGGGTCCAGCCACAAGGGGGTGGTGCAATAGTTGTGGTGCAATCGAATTGCGGGGCTGCAATACATTTGGGGCGTGCATTGCATTGCGGGTCGTACATGTATTGTTGGATCTTCGCGTGCAATACATCCGTCGCAACACACTGCAATTCAATTCTCTGGCGCAATACATTTGCAACACATTTGCCCAAAATCTATTGCACCACCCCTTTTCAGCTGGACCCCCCTTTGAGGTCGACCAAAAGAATGGGGCCATCCCCTCAGCTGTGCCGAGGGTATTCTCGAGTTCGCTGTAAAGGACTACCAGGGCGGTAAAGGAATCGTGTTGAGCGCCCAAGGTCTGAGGTGTCAGGGTTTGCTCAGATCGTTGCGAATCCACATTGGGTTCGCAGTGGCCATCCTTGCTTTCGCAGGTGAGCTGTGCGAGGTCTTTGGATCAGTTCGGGTAGGAGCCCCGCGGACGGTGTCTGCAGGATGAGCTCGGTCGGCGCCAGCCTCAGCTGCAGCGGACCCTCCCGGCAGTCGCCGCCTGCAGGCCTCCGCAGCCTCGCAGACGACGACGCTTGTCGCCCATGGATCGCCGGATGGGGCCCGATGGCCCACACCGCCCAGGAACGTCCACTTCCGGTTTCGCTATCGGGGCCTGTTGGTAAGTCGGGCGCGTCCCTCTACAGGAGGAGCATCCAAACATAATAAAAAAAACATATAGGGACAATTTTCCGGGCATTATTTATTGTTTTTCTGTATATTTTTGTTTGCGCTCATTTTCCCTTTAAAATCCAGCTGTAGGAGGACATGCCCGACCTAAGCATATCGCCGATCTATCGGCGATGCATCGCCGATTCCAGTTCGATGCTTCCGATAATGAGACAGTCGCCGTGTCGGTGCTCCTCACGACCCAGACCCCCGACGTCGTCGTTTTGTTCGCAGCGTCGACCCCCAGAGGTCTGGGCCCCTTCCTTCGATGCTCGTTTGGAGTACCTTCTTGGGGCCCAGCTAACGGATCTGTTCGACTACAGTTCGACACCAGTTCGGTTCAAGTTCGGCTCAAGTTTGATTCGGGTTCGACTCGGGTTAGACTCAGGTTCGACTCAGGTTCGGCTCGAGTCGATGCACGTTCGACGCAGCTTCGACACACTAGTGGAGCGAGTGGCTCCAAGAAAGTCCCCAGAATGAGCACTTGATTTCCCCGGGGCCAGTGTTTTGTCCTGAATCGTCTCAGGCTCCCGCGGAGAGGTCGAAAATGGCGAGAATGCTATTTTTTAAACAACGCGAGTGGGCCTGGCCGGACGGGACTAGGACAAGGATAGTTCCGTTTCAGGGCGTTCCAGAGCTCTGTCAGAGCGTTCCGGAATGCTCTGAGAAGGCCGCGGCGCCCGAGACATCCTCCAGAGCTGTAGGATCTCAGAGACGCCCGATCTGTCCTCTATCCTCGCCCTGGCTTCGTCCAGAGCCGTCGGCTCTCAGAGACGCCCCATCTGTCCCCTGGTCCTCGCCCTGGCCCTGGCCCGAGCCGTCGGCTCTCAGAGACGCCCGCTCTGCCCTCTGCCCTCGTCCTGGCTTCGCTCCCTGAGATCCTGAGATCCGACGTTGCAAAACAATGTACGGTAGGTTCGCGTCGTGTCGACCGGCGGCGACCCCGCCGCCGACGTTCAACGTTGAACGCCGACGGCGGCCCAGAATCGGTCGATGTTGAATGATCGGACGCTGCGGAGACGGCCGATCGTTCAAGGTTGAACGATCCAGCGCGGTATCGGGAACCAACGCCGGGGTCGACACGACACGAACCTGCAGTAACATCTCAAACAAATCCACGCCCGGAGCCCCGGAGCCCATCTTTCCGCGTCGTTCTTCGAGCCGGGTCGATCTGTGGGGGTCCCAGGGCCCGCCGTTGAGCGACAACGGCTGTTGTGAAGAATTTGCGGCGCCAGGATCCCAGGGTTCTCGACCCATTCCTCTGGACCGGTTTTCCATCCCGAGTCGTTCTGTTGACGGTCCCGAGGGCCGGTAAGATCGGGCCGGACGAAAGGGGGGGATTGGGAAAGGGGGAGTTACGAAATCTGTTGCATGCAGCTGGTTTCGCCCCCGCCGCCGGGCCCATTCCTCGATACATGGGCGCCTCCAGGCGCCGGGAGGCGCTGGGAAAATCAGCCACGCGAGCTGATTCTCAAACCCCCCCTTGGCTATCCCCCCGTCGCCCGGCCAGGCAAGAGCCTCCGAGGGCTGAAACATGGGCAAAACCTTCTGTCGTGATTCGTCATGGCCCGAGGGAGTCTGGGGACCCCAGGATCTCAGGGTTCGTCTTCGCTGGGGACCCAGGCCCTGCCGCCCAGCGCGCTCCACTGGCGCCCGCCGTCGCTCCCCGTGGCCGCGGCAGGGCGCGCGGGCAGCGCCGGCCCTGCCCGGCCGCCCGCGGGCCGCTCAGGGGCCTGAGCCGCGGGGCCCGCGGGCCCGGCGCAGGAAGGGAAAAAACCTCCTCCTCCTCCTCCTCCTCCTCCTCCTCCTCCTCCTCCTCCTCCTCCTCCTCCCTCCTCCCTCCCTCCTCCTCGTCCTCCTCCTCCTCCTCCTCCTCCTCCTCCTCCTCCTCCTCCTCTTCGCTTCCTCCTCCTGAATCGTCGAATCCCCAGAAAAACAGATGGGAAAATATGGGGAGTGTGGGGGGGGGGACAAAAGCCCAGAAAGCCCGGGAGAGTATGGGGAGGTGGGTGTGTGTGTGTGGGGGGGGGGCCCTTCACCGACGGGGAAGGGTAGGGGGGCACCCTGGCTCGTGCTGCTGCTCTCCCAGGCCCCCCCCTCGCGCTGTGAAGGATCACCACGGGAGGTCCTTCCCCATTCTCGGCCTCCGGGGGGGCCCTTCCCAGGCCTCGGGGCCGTCCAGACACTGCTCGGGATCGGGCGCCGGTCCCGGGGAAGGGGTCCAGGCCTTTGGGGGTCGACGCGGTGAACAGATGACGACGTCGGGGGTCTGGGGTTCTAGACGCCGTGAACGACGACGCCGGGGGTCTGGGGTTCTACACCCGTCAGAAATCTCAACAAGAACAATTTATTGACATGGACTCTCGACTTGGCTCAAGAAAATAAAACATCTTGACTGGACCCTGTGTTTTTTATTGCCTGAGCCGCGGGGCGCGGGCCCTACGAGGGGCGATGGGGAGGCACAATGGCTCGTGCTGCTGTTCTCTTTTACTTCTTGAGACTATTCGATGCTCATGGTTGGAGAATCGGAAATCTTGGCTGGACATTGGGAGTGTTCTTGGACTTCTTTTGTTTGAGGGTTTGTTTGTAGATCTCTCCCTGAACTACTGTTCAGGAACGCGCTTGGCGTGAAATCCATTTTCCTCAGCTCACAATGTTCTTAACTCTAAGCGTGGGCCGCCCAGATGAGCGACGCAACCAAACGGGGTCGTTGTCGCAGACATTCGTGCGTGAGCTGCCCGCGTAGGGTCGCGCGCAGGCGCCCCTCGTTCCCAACGCGGTGTGCGGCGTTGGCGGCCCGCGTAAGCCGTTGCGCAAGATCCCCATGCCATCTCGCGCAAGATCCCTTGCTTTCCGTCGCCCAGCTGGAGTCGGAGTTGAGGGGATTGGACGATCGCGCCGCATCGGCGATGCATGGACGATGCGATCGATGTGGAGCCTGATTCTCTCCCCGCCGACGGCGCCGACGCGTCGCCGACGTCGCCGATGCTCCGGCCATGCATCGGCGATGCGGCGCGATACACCGACTCCATTTGGGAGGCATCTAGCCAGTGTTACTCCCTGGCTTGTGTTTTGTTCGTGGATGGCCAAAAGAAGAGGCTGCTGCGAGCCCCACAGTTCGTCGGCGACGAACATGTCCGTATCCACTGCCTCGCAGGTTGGGGCCCCGGGCCGCGACCTCGCAGACACGGGGCGTTTGTTCGCGGGTGCCGTGGGATCGCGTGTCCGCGGGATCGCGCCCTCAGAATCCAGACCGCGACGGCGCGGATACGGATATGTCTACCGTTCGTGACCGGTCCGCGTCGGAGCTTGATATACATATAACGGCGCACCGGGTCCGGGGGCCCGGGGCCGGGACTTCGACCACAAATGTGCACCCCGGGGGGCCCGGAGGCTCGTCGGGGCTTGCCGGAGGCCTCCCCAGTCAGACAAGACGGCCCAAGAAGCGCCCAAGACGGCCCAAGAAACTTCCAAGAGGCCTCCAAGAGGCTCCGAGATGCTGAAGATGGCCTCCAGACGTCCAAGGACGCCCCCAAGAGGCCCCAAGAAGCCTCCAACATGCGTCCCAAGAGGGCCCCTAGACGCAAAAATTGGCCCATTCCCTTCGTAAAACGTACATTTTCAACAAAGTTGTCTTTTGGGCTTTCCGACGTTACAGGACGGCCCAAGAGGCGCCCAAGACCGCCCCAAGACGGCCCAAGAAGCTTCCCAGAGGGCCCCAGGACAGCCCAAGAGGGCCCCAAGACGGCCCAAGAGGCGCCCAAGATGGCCCAAGAGGGCCCCAAGACGGGCCCAAGAGGGGGCCCAGAGGGGGACCACGAACCGCAAGCTCGAGCCTTCCGCCCCAAGAGGCCGCCAGGAGGCCCCCAGGAGGCCCCTCAAGAGGCCCCAGGAGACCCCAGACGTCCAAGGACGCCCCCAAGAGGCTCCAAGAAGCCTCCAACATGCGTCCCAAGAGGGCCCCTAGACGCAAGAATTGGCCCATTCCCTTCGTAAAACGTACATTTTTAACAAAGTCGCCTTTTGGGCTTTCCGACGTTACAGGACGGCCCAAGAGGCGCCCAAGACCGCCCCAAGACGGCCCAAGAAGCTTCCAAGAGGGCCCCAGGACAGCCCAAGAGGGCCCCAAGACGGCCCAAGAGGCGCCCAAGATGGCCCAAGAGGGCCCCAAGACGGGCCCAAGAGGGGGCCCAGAGGGGGACCACGAACCGCAAGCTCGAGCCTTCCGCCCCAAGAGGCCGCCAGGAGGCCCCCAGGAGGCCCCTCAAGAGGCCCCAGGAGACCCCAGACGTCCAAGGACGCCCCCAAGAGGCCCCAAGAAGCCTCCACAGTCCCAAGAGGGCCCCTAGACGCATTGGCCCATTCCCTTCGTAAAACGTACATTTTCAACAAAGTTGTCTTTTGGGTTTTCCGACGTTACAGGACGGCCCAAGAGGCGCCCAAGACCGCCCCAAGACGGCCCAAGAAGCTTCCCAGAGGGCCCCAGGACAGCCCAAGAGGGCCCCAAGACGGCCCAAGAGGCGCCCAAGATGGCCCAAGAGGGCCCCAAGACGGGCCCAAGAGGGGGCCCAGAGGGGGACCACGAACCGCAAGCTCGAGCCTTCCGCCCCAAGAGGCCGCCAGGAGGCCCCCAGGAGGCCCCTCAAGAGGCCCCAGGAGACCCCAGACGTCCAAGGACGCCCCCAAGACGCTTCGCGTCACCAATTTCTTCTCGCAACGATTCCTGGGTCT